CCTCCGCAACCCCCAGTCCGCTTTCCAAGAGAACCGAGGAGTCGTCCAGCTCGGCACCCTCAGGTCTGGAGTCTAGCACCTCTCTCCAACCGACTGGGTCGTCTGAAAGAGAGGTGAGCATCAGCATCAGCCCCCAATCCGGCATCGCTCCCACACACGGGATTTCCCGGATGGTAGCTTCCACAGAACAGCCTTCTGCATCATTTGGGAGCAGCACTCCAGGCAGGACAGCCCCCTTCTCTGTTACCACTGGAGATCTCAGGGAAAGCTCGAGTGCCGATCAACCCCCGGAGACCTTCTCCTCTTCAGCCCCCCCTCCGTCTCCTGTATCGTCGCACAGCCCCTCCTTGGGCAGCACCCACCCCATCACTCAAGCCGTCACGAACGAGTCAGAAACTTCAGGCATCTCAGCCAGCACCAGCCTCGCCAAGGTTACCGGGACAAATACTCTTGCTTCCCGGAAGACAGCCCCGGCAGAAACATCCGGAGTGCAACCCATGCCAGCCTCGGACACGGCACCCACCACTTCGGAAACACTGGTCAGCTCTCGGGATGGAAGCCACGCAAGTAGCACAGCAGCTGAATCCAGCACCCCGTCCACATCATCTCTTTTCACCCCAGCTTCACAAAGGCCCGTGGTTAGCACCTCTTCCACCAGTACGCATCTGTTCAGTCATGTGACATCCCAACAACTGGACTTTACAGACTCCTTAGCTCCAAGCTCCCAGTTTGTCACTCAAGCTGTCTCCCTCGAACCAAAGACATCAGGTGTATTAGTCACCAGCACTGTCCCCAAGGCATCTGGAATAATTTCAGTTCATTCTGAGAGGATATCACATGGAGAATCACAAAGCTTGCAAACCACATCAGCCTCAGAACCCACCACTTTCCTTGTATTGAGCAACTCTGCAGTGGGAGAACAGGCTAAAGCTACTGACAAATTATCCAGTACCTCCCCAATTGTGTCCTCATTCTCCATCTCTTCTGCAACAAGTCCAAACACCTTGCTTGAGATAACGTCCCTGCCAATTAATCCTTCCATGAGAACCAAGGAATTGTTGAGCTCTGCATCTTCAGATCTGGCATACACCACCTTTTCCCCATTGAGTACATATTCTGAGACAGGTGAGATCATTTTCACTGTATTTCACCCTGCTCCCTGCTGTAGTTTTCCTTCGCAATATTATATATTCTGGAGGACATTTTTTTTTTGTCACTGTCATGGTTTGTAGCTTTCCTTTTTGTTTTATTGGAGTTCTTGTATCTCTTGAATTCTATACCAGTTAGTCATGTGCATATGACATACCGTACCTAAAATCTTAATGTGTTAAACAATAATAAATTCATGTATATTTGCCATATCATGTTGGAGACCTTGTTGCATTACTGCCTGGGTCCAAATGGCAATGAGAACCCTAGTTCATAAGATTACTCTTTAATTTGATTAATTTTGATTTTCTTTTTTGCTGCCTTTCAAGTTTCAGTACTCCATAGTGAACCCTTTTAACAGAGAAAAACCTTTAGGAAATTTAGGATGTAGGGGTATTTATTATTGAAAAAATTCTTCTGGATCTCTGGCTCTGGATTCAGGGCTGCTGTGGATCTATTTGTTGGACATAAATGTTCCCTCTTGTGATAAATTTACTTGGGTAAAATTTATCCCTTGTGGGCATCAGGATCTGAAAAGGTTTTGTCGGAAGCTTTATACTGAGATCAAATAAATTCATTCAAGGACTAAAATTGCAAGCTGATTTTCACTTTGTAAGCCAGCATTTCAAAATCAAAACAATTCCAGCCCAGAACACAAATCATCCTGAACTATGTCATAGATGTGAAATCAGAATGACTGTTGACTTTTTTGTGGTTGCACACAGAGATGGGAAAGAATTGGGAAAAATGACATTTGATCAGGGTTCGTGATTCGTTTATATTCATGAACGATGAACTGTCACAAACTTGGTAATGAAACAAACCATTTTGTGTTTTTTGTTGTTTTTTGTTGTGATTTGGGACTTCCAGGAGTGTTTAAATGACCTCTGCATATGTTAGAGCCGCTAATTTCACAGAGAGTCTTCATCTGACTCTCCTCCCCATCCCTTCCAGTTTGCTGAAGACTGGACTTGGTATGTCTAAGTTATAGGTCCCCAAAGCAGATTTCCCAGGAAAATGCCCTCTATAACTCAGACATTCCAAATACAATCGTCTCCAAACTTGGAGGGTGTGGGAAGGAGAGTCAGATGAAGATTCAATGTGAGTTTGGCATCTCTGCAGGAGCTGTTTTGCCACTCCCAAAAATCCCAAATTGCACAAACCATAGAGCAGAGGTCCCGAACCCCAGTCCATGGCCCGGCTCTGGTCTGTGGCCTGAGCCGAACCGGGCTGCAGAGACAGGCCTCCCCCCTGTGCACGCACTCACCCCCACACAGCTGATTTGGACATTACGCGCGCTGCAGCGCGCCCGTGTGAGCGCTGCACTGCCGTTTGCACAAGAGCACTCATTCGCTCATGCACACGAGCATGGGGAGTGCCCCGCCTTCCCCAGCACCACGGGGTGAAAAAGGTTGGGGACCCCTTCCATAGAGCATATGAATCGCTATTGCCAATAATAGTTCAACATTTCATTTTGTTCTGGGCAGGCGTATTTTCCCAAAGTGCCCCAAAATGAACCACAAAATGGCATAATTCATGGGGGAGGGGTTTTGCTTCATGGTTTGCTAGTTAGACAATAATTTAAAAAGAAATAATATTTATTTTCAAAATTATGTGCTCAACAACTCGACATGAATGCATGGGATCATTAGTGGTGAAAAGAAGAAGAATTTAATCTGTTTAAATGGTAGAAAACAGTTTTTCTTTCTGAAACTCATGGCTGAGGACAGAGGTCAACATAACATCCACCTCACAAAACGGAGGACAAACAAGAACTAACCAAGAAAACAGAGCCTCAGAGTGAACAAGGTTAAGCACCTACAGTGGACCCTCGACTTACGGAATTAATCCATATTGGAACGGTGGCTGCCGGTTGAAAATTCCGTAGGTCAAGGGTCCATTTCCCATAGGAATGCATTGAAAACCATTTAATCCATTCCAGCCAAAGAAAATAAATCCAAGCCTTCCAAAACTACACCCACTTCCCTCTGCCTTCTGTCCCCGCTGCCCTCTGCCTCCTGTCCCCACGGGAACAGGAGGCAGACGGCACTGGGGACAGGAGACAAGAGGGTAGTGGGTGCAGCTTTCCAAGCTCCGAAAGCCGGCAGCAGGCGCAGAGCAGCTTTCAGCTTGCAAGCCGAAAGCTTTGAAAGCTGCACCTGGTGCCCTCTGACTCCTGTCCCCGGTGCCTTCTGCCTCCTGTCCCTGGTGCCCTCTGACTCCTGTCCACAGGAGGCAGAGGGCACCAGGGACAGGAGACCAGAGGGCAGCGGGTGCTGCTTTGAATTTCCTGCCCTTTCCTGCTGCCTTTCGTAGGTCGAAGCTCCGGCCACAAGTCAAACTAAAATTTTGCAGCCGGAGCTTTTCGTACCTCGAAATTCCCGTAAGTAGGGGCCTTTGTAAGTCGAGGGTCCACTGTAGTGGTAAGAAGGAAAGGGAGCTGTTGATTGGTTGCTTAAGAACAAGCCAACAAATAAGTTAGTTTTCTTAGAGAGGTTTTCTCTTCTAAAGGGGATCATGTAAACAGCTGTATTAGCAATTAGTCCATGCATAGCATGGTGAGTTGCTACATATTTCAACAATTAGAATTTAAGATGAATCTGTTTTTTATATAAGAAATCAGAAGCTCCATCCTGCTTGTTTACATGTACCTTGAAGATATACATATCTAGTTTATTCAGGCATAGTAAAAACTTTATATTTTATAAGTATACATATTAATTTTCCTTTTATTTATTTCACAGATCCTATCCTGTGTTTCAATACACATGATTTTTGCACACAGTCCACTAAATGCCTTGCCTTACAAAAAGATTACATCTGTTCAAGTAAGTTGGAAATATTTACATGAATTGTTTCACTGTAAAGAAGGAAGAATTCTGTATTGGTGGCTTTTATCCATTTTTTTCAGGAAAGTGTACTATTTGGCAGTTGTTATGCTCACATTTCTTTGAGCATATGAACTTGAATAATGAGGCCCTTTATTTACCCGTGAGCAAAATGTATAACTAGAGATGATGTGAAGCCATCTACAGGTGCAATTAATTTAAAGATGTATTTAAATCACAGCAGATAGACAGGGCATAAGATCCATGAAAATATTAAAGAAAATAAAGGAAAATCAATACAATGTAATGATGAAATGAAAAAGGCAAAGCAGAACAACCTGTATTGAAGTATCAGATGAAATTACAATTCTGCAAAATTAGCCATAGTTAGCCCTTTATCAAACACTATATTTGCCCCTAACATTCCATCAGCTTTCTGGTTAAAGCTTTTTAAGTTCAGCAGTCTTTGGCCTAAAGAGTGAGAAAGATATAGAATGGCTTCCTGAAGACTAAGGGAAATGTGTAGGAGCAATCCAGGGCATTTCAGTTGGGGAAAAAAAGAAGGAAAATGTAAAACGTAAAATAAAGTAATGAAATCCGTTTGTGTGTGTGTAATAAATCTAAAAAAGAAAAGAGTAAGGGAGGTGTAGAATCTCCCAGGAGGAATAGTGCAACCCATTGTAAAAAGTGAAACTTCGCTCAGAATCAAGGCAAACTAAGGCCCCAAGGCTCCAGAGCAGTCAAAATCTGCAAAAGTAAAAAAAAAAAATACATGAGAAAAAGTGAACTAAAAAGCATCTCTATGTGACTGTGGATGTGTGTATTAATGAATGTGACTCTGAGTCTCAGTTTCCTTGTCCCAAGCAGCAGTTGTGTTTTGCTCTACTGACCCCCAATTTTCCTGCATTCTGGTTGTCTTCCTTACCTTCACCCTTGAAATTCAGTTCTGTGTTGGTAGATGACAAGCTGGCAGAAAAAGTCCATTGCACTACTCTTTTTTATTCCCAGAAAGTAAGTCATCCCTTTGTCCTGCAGCACATGATATGACCATGGCAACTTATCAGGGTATACTCTGGGCCTGGCACCCCTGAAAGTATCCAAATGTGCAGCCTGTCCATACTGTTCCATTGTCTTCCAGCTCAGCCTTGTTGCCACAGCAATTATGTGTCTCTTTCAAAATCCTTGCAAAATTCCAGGCTGGAAGAAATCCTCAGCCCTTTCTGCCAACAGGAAGCAGTCGACGGTGCCCATGGCAACTTATCAGGGTATACTCTGGGCCTGGCACCCCTGAAAGTATCCAAATGTGCAGCCTGTCCATACTGTTCCATTGTCTTCCAGCTCAGCCTTGTTGCCACAGCAATTATGTGTCTCTTTCAAAATCCTTGCAAAATTCCAGGCTGGAAGAAATCCTCAGCCCTTTTTGCCAACAGGAAGCAGTCGACGGTGATGTTTATGAAACAAACCAAAGTTTGCTTCTATGCCATTCCATAGGCAGGCCAAACCTCATGTTTGAACCACATTGGTTGAAAAGTACCTAGAAAAGGAGAAACAACTGACAGTAACAATCAATCTCTAAATCTAAACAGGATGAGAATGTACTCAGGCATTGCCTTTCTTTCTAGCCATAATATTTCTAAATTTTACTAAGGGTCTTTCCACTACTTCATAAAAGGAAGAGTGAATCGACAGAGAAAGAAAATTGAGGTCTGCGACAGAGATTTGGTGCAAAACATTGTGAAATGATCAGGTGATGGGATATCAGTTGATAACAGATATTCTATAGACCAGTGGTTCTTAACGTGGACGATAATGCCCCCCAGCGGGCGATTTCATTTTTCAGGGGGGCGGTAGAACGAAAAGGGGCGGCATGGGG